GGTCTGCCCTAACCTACCACCTCCCCAGTTCCGTATGACCCAAACTGCAAACCCACCTCGGAGGCATCCGTCAGAATAGACGTCGCTCCCCGGGGCATTCATCGGAGTAAAAAAACGCTCCCCGGGGCATTCATCGGAAAAAGCTACCCTCTCCGGGACATTTATCAGAAAAGACTTTCGTCCCCGGGACACTCATCGGATCTAGCGTTTCTCCCCGAGACATTCATAATAAAAACCCTAAAAAACCCTCGAGAACGGGGGAGATTTCGCCGCTCCTCGGGGCATTCAATCGGCCCCGGCCATGCTCAAGAAACAAACAAGAAAAGCAAGAGAAAAAGAAAACTTACTATGGTAAAATCGATGACGAAGAACGCGGCGGCTGCAACGACGGAGATATCGGACGACGGCGGAACAACAGGCTGGAAACTTGAGAACAAGAGGGCGAAAAGTGAGAAATGAGCAGGGGCTCGCTCACTTATACCCCTGCACGGGACTCGAAGCGTCACTAGACACTTGAGTACCCTAGGGTAGCCGCCCTAGCAGCCACCCAGAACACGACACGTGGCGGAACCAGACAGACGCGTCTCTTCGCCTCTCCCCGCCAATACCCGCCTTCGAGCCCGGCCGACCGACGATAATAAACGCGCGTCTTCGCACGAGGGAGTCTTTCCCCGAACCAGTCCACTTCCCCGGAACGACGTCATCAAGTCCTCACTCCCATCCTCGGAGCAACGACTTGGGGGGCTCCTGTTCTGGACTAGGCCCCGAGCTGAACTATGTTGGCCCAGCCCAATAATGTTCCACCAGGCCCTGCCCCGTCCGGGTATCGCTGATCGCGACTTTCTATGTCTAATACAACCTAACTGCAAGTGCACAGTCTATCGCGTAGTAATAATAGATATCGATCCCACAGGGACTCGTAATCAAACTAGTGTTCTCGGGAGTTACTATGTTTAGCTAGGTAGATAATGTTTGAGGGAATAAGATTGTCACTAAAGGGAACTAAGAATGTAAATTAAAGTATAATTAATTGAATCGATATGCAGTGATTATATTCTTCGGGGATTTGACAAGTTACCGGTATACGAAATATTTTTCAGAGTTTATTTAAGCAGAAAATGGTGATCTGAAGACTCTCGCCTCACGATGGTTATTGACGCTAATCATAATTCTAAGGGCCAAACGTACGCTTTCGTGTCCCATTCGGGGTTAAAATTATTTTTTGGAAATCTCTAAGTTCTAATTCATTTTAAAGTGCTTTCGCTGTTATTAAAATGAATGCCTAGTGTTTACTATCCGATCATGCCGCAGCTTTCGCTTGTTGGTTCGTACCTTAATTAATTTCCCACTTTCGTGACAAAACTACTTTTAAATAAGTTCTCGCTTTCGCGATGAAGTTTATTCAGTAAATTAATTTTAAACACTCAGACCATAAACGACCTTTGAAAAAGACAGTTTTCAACCGGTTATTTTCAAATCCCTTTAGAATTATTAATACATATCGATTACTTAAATTTAGCTAGACATGGATTTGGGAAAGGTAAAACATAAATAAAAACAGTAAATAATAGCATGCATCATAATAAAAACTGGAATTACGATTGAAATGAGAAACCTGTAAATATTCCAATTGGCCTTTGGGCAGATCCTCCACAGATGTTGGCAGGATTCTGGTCTTTGTGTCAATTTGATCGTACAACGGAAATAAAAATTACAGAAGGAATGAAAGGAATGCAGAAAAAGAAAAGAGAAACAAATAAGAATATTAAAAACTGGAAAGGTTGCTCTGGAAATAAATTGGGCAGCACTTCGTTGTATCAATGCGGCTCCCTTTCTGAGTTCCCCTTCTGAGTTCCCCTTCTTCCCCTTTTATAGAGATGGAATTCTAACGGTTATAACTTGAAGAAGGTGGACTTTGAGGCAGAATTATCAGGGAGTAGTGGTCCACTATTTGGGACTTGGAACTGCTTCTTTCACGTGCATTTGAAGTGGGGCGTTTTTGCCTGCATGACGGTCGTCACAAGGTGTGACGGTCGTCATGGAGCTGTGACGGTCGTCACAGCAGCAAAACCAGCATTCTGCGTTTTTCATGATGTTTTCATCCGGTTTTCGTCCATATTTCATCTGAGATTGCTTCTTTTCTTCATATTGTCTTGTTTAGACGTGATAATCAAATACCTGCAAAACAACAGACGAATAACACGGAAATAACCCGAAATCGGGTCGAAAACAGTTAAACTTTAGTTGAATTATGCATCAAAATATATATACGATTTTGTGTTATCAATCGCGTCGAGCACAAGATCCCCGACATGCTAGAATGATCTCCCCGCGAAGGAGAACCGTCCCAACCACGTTGGGCAAGAGAATCGCCCGCACGACCAAGCACCGCCCTCCGCGGGCGGTATTCCCCACGCCGTCGAGTAAGACCCCATGGCTCTCCCACGTCCCCGTGTGCTCCCTTCCTCGGGGAGACCAACGTGCCTCCGGGGAACCGTGCGAGCTCCCTTCCGCGGGGAGAACGACGTGCCCCGTGCACGTTCTCCACGTGCTCCCCTCTGCGGGGACACGTCATCCACCAACTGCCCACCTCCGAAAGAGCAGGTCAACCCACTTTCCGGAGTTCACGGAGCAGTTGAACTAAGGCGAATACCACATTCCGGTATTCACTACGCCATGTAAGCCCTAACAGTCATTAGGGTTGGGCCTGGTCATCCAGCCCATCTCAAATGACCGTTGGCCCAGCGCTGGGGTCTCTATATAAATACCCTTTTTCACAAGATGGTCAGGTAATTCACTTCTTACCCATTTTCTGTACTTTGTTCTCATTCTGCCCAAATTCTTACTTTGGCATCAGAGTGTCTCGCAGGTACACCCCCTTTTTTCCTCCTCATCACCGGCGAACAGGTAGCAGTCCAACAGAGTGTAGCCAGTCCGTGATCCCCTTCTGATCAGGTCAGATCAATATATATATATATATATATATATATATATATATATATATATATATATATATATATATATATATATATATATATATATATATATATATATATATATATATATATATATATATATATATATATATATATATATATATATATATATATATTGTTATGGTTTTGGTTTCATATGTATTTTTCTTTTAAATTGTTGAGATTTAGGCTGAAAAATATATCATTAACTAATACAATACTCATCTGATGTTAAAACATTAAAATAAGAGAGATTGAACTCACCCCTGAACTCTTCCTAGCTCAGAGGGTCGCATAAAGACCTCAAAACAACAATCATTGATTTTCTTAAAGCATGTCTCAACTATTTTATAGTAATCATAGCTTTAATAATAAGATCGACCAAATTCAAATGTCCAATTCAATATTTCGTCCGCTTAAAATTAACGACCGTGTTAACCCCACCAAGGAGTTGCATACTAAAACTAGACACCATACTCAATCACTGAAGTCAATCCAACGATCTTTCTTGTTTCACACCACACTCATCAAAGGCAATTTTATCTTTCGTCCATATATAAATGTAATTTCATGTCACACCAATGTACTTTCTTTGTTTTTTTATAAATCACTTTAAAAAATAAATTATATCAAAATATATGTGGTTTAACAATATCAAAAAATTATTAATTTTATTTTTTCTATTATACTTATATTTATTAGGATTTCTTACCCCAGTGCCCCTTTTTGAAAAAAAAAATCCCAAAATACCCCATTTTGAAAATTATTTACCAATATGCCCCCTTTCTTGTATGGGCTCGTCCATTCATTGGACCAACACCCTAAGCCCACTACATGCTCGCCCAATGGAAGGACGAGCTAGTGGAGATTATTTAGCAAGCATGAGCTTGTCCATTGGAAGGACGAGCATGTGGTAGTTTTAATTTTTTTATTTTTTTTATTTTCTGAATTATATTTATGTATTATTGGATTTATTTATTTAAACATTTAATATTTATTTATTATAAGTAATAATAAAATAATAATATAAAATTTAATAAATAATAAAATTTTATTTTTTTTAATTCTTAATTTTATGTATATTTATTTTTTAATACATTTTTTATTTATTTATTTATGAATTGTAAATAATAAAATTACTAATGTTTATTTTTATAAATAATAAAATTACTAATTTTAATTTTTATAAATAATAAAATTTTAATGTTAATTTGAATAAATAATAAAACTTTAAGTATAATTAATACGAAAAATAATGTTTTTTTTTTTTGAAAAATAAATTATTAAATAGTCATTGATTAAGAATTAAATGAGTATAAATAATTTGTTATAAATAAATTATTGTTTTGTATAACTAAATTAGATGAGTATAAATAATTAAATAATTATATTGTATACGAATAAAAAAATAATGAATACAGAGTCTCGGTTACTGAATGACCGAGCTCAAACGTTATTTTTTTTTTATAAATAAGTGTGTTGCTCATCACCAAGTATCATTCGTGACCACTTATCTTAATCATAAAAATGTCGGTTGAAGCTCTTGTTTTCTATGGGCCAGAGAAAAAAATCAGTATTAACCTAGATCCTTTGTGGAATTTCAGAACATTGGTTGCAGCAATTAACACCGGATTTTGGCAGCTGGGAGGTCGTCGCGTGACAGTGAGGAAGATTGAGTATCGTTGTCCATATATAACGCTTACCGATGCTAGCCCGGAGGGGACTTATATGTACTACCTAGATCGTATAGAAAACGATGAAGATGTCCATTGCATGTTTTCAGCACATAGCGGCGAAGTAAACAGAGGAGTCACAGATCCACTTGTGTTGGTCGCTGTAGTTTGTTAGATTTTGTGTTGGTCCTTGTTGTTTGTTAGAGTTTATGTTATCTTCTGGTATTTCTTTTTTGTGTTTGCGGAGTCACGGGTCTAATTTATGTTTGTAGTTCGCGTGTGTTTTTGTAATTTTAAAGTTGTTTTGAATTAAAAATATTTGAAGGATTACATACAAAAGTAGTACAATAAATTATCTAGTTGGTCGGTTTGACGGACCAGCAACGTTGGGACATTTTCTACGCATATGACCTATTTCTCTACAAATACCACATCTTCTTTGCTCTTTTTCTGCGTCGTCCATCTCAGTTCTAATTCTAGTACTATGTGGACGCCCTTTTTTATTTCTTCTCATGGAATCGTCGTGGCATAGAGTAAAACCTTCATACTTTGGCCAGTTATCCTCGTGCGGTAGTCCCAGGAAGCTCTCCTGGTAGACCTTGAACACGCTTAGAACTTTGAAGACCTCTGGAATGTGAATTGTGTAGTCCTGTCGTATGCTAGAACATGCCGCTATCACGTGAGAGCAAGGCAAGTGAAATGCCTGAAACTTTCCACAGTCACAGAATCGACTACGCAAGTCAACACGGAAAGTACCCGTTGGACGACCGTCGTTATAGTTAGTCCTTTCCTGCACCATGAAACAGAATCTTTCGCGATCAAATTGCATGACGTTGTGTGTGTTAGCCTTAGCTACCTCTTCAGCCATGCCTTTGTTACAACCATCTGTAAACACTTTCCCTGAAGATAACATCTTGGTCCATTTGTGACCTCTTTTACCAAAGAGCGAACCCATTCTATAGTACGTAGACTGGACTAATGCAGTGATGGGAAGGTTTCTTGTTGCCTTTAGTACAGAGTTTATTGTCTCTGCCAAGTTAGATGTCATATGTCCCTAACGTTGCCCTTCATCAAATGCTCTGTCCCCAACATTTATACTCATTTAATTCTTAATCAATGACTATTTAATAATTTATTTTTCAAAAAAAAAAAAACATTATTTTTCGTATTAATTATACTTAAAGTTTTATTATTTATTCAAATTAACATTAAAATTTTATTATTTATAAAAATTAAAATTAGTAATTTTATTATTTATAAAAATAAACATTAGTAATTTTATTATTTACAATTCATAAATAAATAAATAAAAAATGTATTAAAAAATAAATATACATAAAATTAAGAATTAAAAAAAATAAAATTTTATTATTTATTAAATTTTATATTATTATTTTATTATTACTTATAATAAATAAATATTAAATGTTTAAATAAATAAATCCAATAATACATAAATATAATTCAGAAAATAAAAAAAATAAAAAAATTAAAACTACCACATGCTCGTCTTTCCAATGGACGAGCTCATGCTTGCTAAATAATCTTCACTAGCTCGTCCTTCCATTGGGCGAGCATGTAGTGGGCTTAGGGTGTTGGTCCAATGAATGGACGAGCCCATACAAGAAAGGGGGCATATTGGTAAATAATTTTCAAAATGGGGTATTTTGGGATTTTTTTTTTCAAAAAGGGGCACTGGGGTAAAAAAATCCTATTTATTAACATCTCTTCTTTTAATTATCACCACTATATTAGAGAGCTTTCACTCATCATCTCATCACCAATTTACATCTACATTGTAATAGCCTATATATAAAGATTGAAATGAATATTCTCAACAAAAAAAAAAAACATAAAAAATTCATATCGATAGACTAAAAAAGGACCGGTCAGCATACGAGTACCGCTCTATCCGTGAAGACTTACGAGAAACACAGGAGAGGATAGCGTCAGTGTATGTGTCCAGATTCATTCATTCATTTCCTTCAAACATTACCATAACCGACAATACCTGACCAATTTTCAAACCCGCTTTCAATGCCCTCGCATTCGCCATTTTTCCATTTTCATAACATGACATTTGTCATAAAAACACTAACCAAAATAGCAAAGCCCCATTCATATCTCACCAATTACCAATACCATAACTATCACCACATTCAGACACCACCGACTTTCTTCCTGGTATGAACTTTCTCTCACTTTCTCCCCTTTTTTTGCATAATGGTTTCTGATTTTTTATTTATTTTTTAAGTTAAAATTACTGTAATAAGATTATTATTATATAGATTCGAATAGATTTGATAATTGCTCTCTCTTTTGATCCGTATTGATTTGACATTGTGATAATGTGTTGTGGCTGGATAGAAAAGGGGGAAAGGGTTAGTGATGATGATCAATAAACTGTTAAGCTTCAAAATCAACGCATTCAATTCAATCAGAATAACAATATTTCAGTTTTCTATACAGAAAGTAAAGGCTTTTTAGGGATTCGGAATCAAATTTGTCATAAATTTGTTCCTTTGCTTAATTTAATGTCATTTACTGTTTGTTATCTTGGTCAAGAAAACTTTTTGAATCTTGAGTATGGATTTTGCCACATTTTTGACTTGATGCTCTCTTTTTCTTGAATATTAAGATATGGTTCTGTAGAAAGGCACAATTTTGATCATGAAGGAAGGACCAATCATGGTTACAACTGTGTTTTTCTCTACTCAGCATGATCGTATTTTATTTTGTATTATTACTAAAAGACAGAATATCCAACTCAATATGCTAAGTTCAACATATATCATTGATTTTAGTCCTATAAGAGTTCATGCTGATCTTTATGCAAAAGCTTTTACAAGTACATTGTATCTAGACGCCGATTATGTCTAACACGTCACATTTGTTAATTGAAACAAACAAGTGAGTGTGATGAGATCATAATTCCACTAACTATTTATAATTGGTGTATTATCACATGCTTTCAACTCTGATGTGTACCACTGCTGTAATGCTTGGTCTTATGAAGCTCTTACATAAGTTCTAGTCTTGATTTGATTCTGTAGAGCAATGTTATTTATTATTATGTTCTTTCTTCTACTCTAAGTTTCTCTCTTCTTATGTCTTGACTCTGCAGGAATCTACGAAATGCTATTGATTTGTTGATATCAGTACATAGATAAAACTAGTGAAACTGTTTCAATGTCAACTGTGAGCAATGCTACAAATATATTTTGGCAAGATTGTCAACTAGGAAAGCCTGAACGGCAGAAGCTACTTAACCAAAAGGGATGCGTTGTATGGATTACTGGACTCAGTGGATCAGGTTCATATTTTTAGGCTTTGTTTCATATTTCAGCATTGGCCTCGGATATGCTTTTATCTTTTGTCATGGGAAAAACCATCGTATTCCTGTTGTTCGTGATGTTTATGCTTTTTAATTATGTTTTAGCTGCTCCCAAAATTTATCTATTTCCTTCAAGTTGACTTGATCGACAGGAAATTCTTGTCTGTCATGCATGGTAATCGTCCATGTGTTTTCAAGTCTATATTCTGTTTGATTCTGAATGAGAACATGAAATAAATATACCAAAAGAGCTATGCAACTGTTCCATTTAGAGCATACTATAATTGTTTTCTTCACAATGTCCATCTAAATCAACTCTGCCACAATCTGCAATGTATAACGAATTGTCTTTTTACTCTAGTCACTTCTTTATCAGTTCTACCAGCATGGCTGGTCCAATCCAACAAAAGTTTTTTTGACGCACTAGACATTTTTTAGTACAGATTACATTGGTGTCAAATGGCAATTTATCCCTGTCATGGATGAAAGGAGATTGAAGTTACATTATTTACTATTTTCAATAATTCGTAGATTATAGATATAAATTAGGATAAAGTAGATTTTCAATATAGCGCTTGTATATTTTCTGACACCTTGTCGATGAAGCAAATTGGTAAGACCAGAAAGTTTATATAGAAACTTGTAAGAATGAAGTAAACATAAGGGCCCATTTACTTTGAGAAAATGTTTTTTGTTTTCATTTTGAATTACAAAACTTTTACTTTGTTTTCGACTTTCAGTTTTTGTAATTAAAAATGAAAACACAATGAAAACAAGAATGTTTTCTCAAAGTGAGCAGACTCTTGAATAAAATTGTTTGTCTATTTTGATTTCTGCAATTGTCCTGTGTTAATTTCAAAAAGTATAGAGAAACATGGAATACTAGTGTCTATTTTAATTCTTGCTAGCACCCTCTGCCTAAATTGAAATGCTACAATGCACATGTGCTATGGTTCATTCACAAATTGTGTTTGATTTGACTTATCCTTAACTATTATCAGGATAAAGGTGGCCAAAGGTTCAAACTCTACAATATTTGTCGCTTATTGAATCCATTACCTTTCACATCACAGTTATGACAGACTACATTTTAGTTCTTTTGCAACTGACTTCTGAATTTTAGAATTTTAGGATACCAGAAACTAATGCATAATCTTTGAAATTCCTTTGAACGATTGTATGTGTAATGTGGTTCCCACGTGCTGTGTTGATTGTTTTATCGAACTGTTCAGGAAAAAGCACATTGGCATGTTCTTTAAGCAGCGAACTGCACTCAAAGGGAAAATTATCTTATATCCTTGATGGAGATAACCTTCGTCATGGACTAAACAAGGATCTTGGTTTTAAACCTGAAGACCGCACTGAAAATATTCGCAGAACTGGTAAGCTTTTTCCATAAGCAAATTGTTTTAAAAGAATAAATAAAAGGAAAGAACTTGATTGTCAGTTTTAAAAATTGTAATATCTGATCCATATATCATTGAAATTGATGTATATGCGTTTTCTGAATCGATAATACTTTGGTTGTTGCAGTTATATGACTAGCTGGTGTATATTTTAAAGTCTGATGCATATAAATTTTCTATAGTTTTACTGAAAAAAATATTATTGAATTCAGGTGAAGTGGCGAAACTGTTTGCCGATGCTGGTCTAATATGTGTTGCCAGTTTGATATCTCCTTATCGAAGAGACCGGGATACTTGTCGTGCCATGTTGCCTGATGCCAACTTTATTGAGGTAAGGCTCCTTTAGGCATTTGGTGTCATTTGTGCAAGTTAGTTTACAAGATATTTGATATGGACTACTAATTACAGGTCTACATGAACATGCCTCTAGCATTGTGCGAGGCACGGGATCCTAAAGGTCTCTATAAGCTTGCTCGTGCTGGAAAGATCAAAGGTTTGTTTCTTTAATGGTGTTTTACTAGTGGAGGCTTCCCTCCGCCGTTCAGAGCCTTCATTGCGTCTTAGGTTCAATAGTGCAATATTTCTTCTTGCATTGCCAATTGGATAATGTTCCTGTAAATTCAAACATGTCTAAAACATTGCTTAGAACAATTTTTATAATTCTAAGGTCTAGCTGCTGAAACTCTTTTCTTATTTTGAGTTCTACCATGTGACATTTTTGTCCTAATAGTGAAATTCCGCAGGTTTTACCGGCATTGATGACCCTTATGAACCACCCTTGAATTGTGAGGTACTCGTTAACATTTTTCTAAAATATGTAGAAGGATGTGTTTTAACATGATTGTCACACTTGCAGATAGAAATAAAGGAGGACAATGGAGTTTGTCCGACGCCAAATGTGATGGCAGGACAAGTTGTTTCTTACTTGGAGGAGAAAGGATTTCTTCATTGTTAAGGAAATGTTGATATATCTATTGTCTGATTTTGATGTCCCCCAGTATATTCTCTAACTATAATGTTTCTTCCGGTCGAAGTTGAAATCGTATTAAGTGGACTTGTAAAATTCATCAGCTATATATATGAAAACAGCCATTCCATTGAATGGTGAAGATTAAGTAAGTTCACGATGTTTTTCAAGGTATGGTATGATTGTTCTTTGCAATGTTAATTATTATGGTACTAGGAAATCAAATTACAATCACAAAATGCTGCTTGTCATTTATATCCAACCATTTCCATAATTTTAATTTAAAATTTTCTCTCTTTTTATTGGATTTTTATAAGAATATAAATTTATGTGTTTTCATTCAAGTATTTATCAAAACTTATTCCATCCCAACTATAAATTCATTTATTCTATTAGTTTAAAAAGTCAATCGATTCAATTTAAACTATAAACTGTTAACTTTTTTTTAGTTGTAAGATTATTATCAGGCTGTAAAATAATGTATGAGATGCAAAATATAATTTATAATATATTAAAAATTGATATTATAAAATAATAGTTATCAGTTATATTTAAAACATATAATTAGTAAATAAATTATATTAAAATAAATTAATAAGTAGTATTTAAAAAATTATAACTAATAACAGTTGAATGTAATATATTATTATAATATATATAAAAAGATTTAAAAATGTTAAAATACGTGTCCACAATTAAATTTGACTTCGAAAAATAAATTCAAAATTTTATATGATCCAATATTTTGAAAAAAATATATAATTCAAACATCTTTGACAATATTTAGTTTTGTGTGGTATTTTTTTAAAATATTAATTTACTATTTTTATTTAAATTGGTTTGAATTTGAATATTTCAAATCATAGCACTAATAATATTCACACTTCACGTTCATTTTTTCATCATTATTAATATAAATAATTCAATTGAAACCTGATTAATTTAATTGGTAAGAAGTTTAGTTAATTAGAAAAGTTGGGGAACATAAGGTGGTAAAGGTGGTGCATTTATTTAGAGAAACGAATAGATTTAGATGATTTTTTAAATATATTTTATATGTTTTTTTTATGCACTACACAAAATTTTTAAAATGTTTTTAAATTTTAGAGTCTCATCTTCGGACGCACAAAAATATCAGTTAACATTAGAATATTTTAAAAACACATTTTTGAAATTTTTTAAAAGTTAAATCGCATCACACTCTTCTCATTTCTCATTTCACGTTTTATTCGAACTCTCAAATTTCTTTTTTATACCAAGTCAAATTCCATTCAACAATACTCAAGGGAACATCAATCTTCATCTGGAACATCAAAAACAACATTTAAAACATCAATTTTTTGTAAGTTTTTTGAATTTCGATAAATATTTGAGTTTATGTCTAAATGAGTATAAATTAATTATTAGAATTAGAAATGAGTAAAAATAACATTTAAGATAGTTTAGGTATAGTGTATTAGTTGTTTATTGGCCGAAAATGATGTTTTTTGAGATTGCATGGGGTACTTTACGCCATTGGCGCAACTTCTAAGTTGCAGAAAATTCCGGAGATGCATCTCTGGAATTTTTCACCGTTTAATTTTTTGTAGGAAATTTCGGAGATACATCTTTGAATTTTTCAACGTTTTAGTTTCCCCCAGATTCCGAAGACGCATCTCCGAAATTTCCTGCAGTATTTGTTTTTATTTTCTTGGTTGAGTTATTTGCCCGCGCTAATGGTTTGTCTTACTTTAACTTACAAGCATGATATCTGATAGACAGGATAAACTAAGGCATGGGAGGATTGCTCAGCACGCATCTGTTATGCAGGAGAAGAGTCAGCAGATTCCATAGGGTCCTGACCCCTTTGCCCAGACAGAGTCGTCTACTTCTAAGGTTCGTACTTCTCCTCATGCCACTCCATCTCCTTGTTCTCGTAGGAGACAAGATTCACCATCTGACGCATCACTCCCTCCACCCTCCCACAAGCATCATGTTTCACCAGTGCCACCTCCTACTGTAGATGTTGCAGATCCAATCCCACCTTAAGTCCCACCTTCTACTGCTGATGTTGCTGATCCAGTTCCACCTCCAGAGAGTGAGGTTGGTGTGGATGCTGAGCTAGAGGCATTTGGAGGAGGTCCAGTTAATTTATCCTCACTGTCTATGTATCCAGACCATACTGCTAGACATATCTGGGACAGAGAGGTAACATTAGTTAGATTAATTATTTTTTTTACGTTAATTTTAATTAAAAAATTTCTGAAAAATTTAAGGAGCGTGATCCGCAGAAGTTTCTTAACCATGGGAGGAAGATTGCAGACTTTTCTCAATTGAATGAGGATTGGTTTCGGTCAATTTTGTCCTTATCCGGCCTAAAAGACTTGTGCATGACCGATTATACTATGGTCAACCACGAAATCCTTAATGCATTCATGGAGAGATAACATTCAGAGACCTCATTGTTTCTTCTCCCGCATGGTGAGATGTCTATCACACTCGATGATGTCTCGTGTTTGCTATATCTTTTAATCAGAGGGGAGATTCCTAGATTATGAGAGGATGACCAAAGAGGAGGCACTCGAGATGATGGTAGTGTATCTTAGGGCTGATCCAGGGGAGTCGGTGAAGGAATTAGATAAGACCATGAGTGCTCATGTTAGATTTGAATTCCTGAAGAAGCTATATGAGATTGAGATCCGAAGTGCATAGCAGGCTGTTGGTGATGTTGAGCAGGTGGCGCTCCACAGATCACATGCGTTGAGAGTGTACTTGCTTTATTTGGTTGGCACTGCAATTTTTGTGGACAAGAGTGCCACCTATATAGATGTCGTCTACATGCGGTACTTCGTGAATTTCGAGCGGATCCATGAGTACAACTGGGGTGGCTTATTTGATCTACAATTATTGGAAGTGTATAGAGGGTTCTATATGGAAGACGGAGCAGGTCACTGGCAACATGACACTACTGACGGTAATATTATTGGTCTTTGAATATTTTTTTATTTTCATTTCATATTTGCAAAGTCACTACCGATGATTCGTGTGTTCCAAACTTTTCATTTTAGGCTTGGAGCCTCCAGCACTTCCTGTCTAACCTTAACTGGGTGAGTATACCTGAGTACATTAAGGATATTCCATGTGTTATTACTTTTATCCCGCTCAGAGGGAACCAGACGATCGAGCCTTTCAGAGTCTATCTTGACCGTCTAGTTGATGAGAACATGCACTTCAATAACTATGTTGATCATTGTCATACACGGTTGTCGCAACTGTGAAAAACACCTGGAGAAACAAATAGAAGAGTCACCACCGAATGTTATTTATCCCCACAGGAGAAAGGAAACGATCAAAGGAAACCTCAAAGAAGGGAAAAAAACATGGTCTTGCAACCAAATCTTGGGTTCGAGAGTCGATTACACGAGAGGAAGGTATTAGCACTCCCTCGCGTCCGTTGTACTCAACAGGATCCACACTTGTTGTCTAATCAAAGAGTGTGTTATCTAAAGCCTACTGCTAAACGGAAACGGAAAAGGAGAAAAAATGAAAAGAGACTCGTTAGGACTTCGCCGTCTTGGGCCTACGCATTCCCTCGTGCAACGGGAAAGTCATAGTCAACGTAGTTCGTGCAACGGGAAAGTCATAGTCAACGTAGTTCGAAAGACTACGGGTAAAAAGGAAGGTTGCTCGTCAATACTTTGCTATCTTGTGCCTACGTATTTTCATTCGGACGAGAATGAGGAAGTCAGAGCAGTCGTAGTTCGACATACGAGTCGATACATGTTTACGGTAGAACGGAAAAATAACATACTCTTTCTGAAAATGATTTGACAAACGACCTCGAAGGATGAAAATGATTTGAGTTTGTTTGTAAGTTTTAAAAAAGTGAATTGATTTTATTTGGAATATGCATCGCACTAAAGTCTATAACATATGATCGAATACTTTACGCTAACGATCTAAGCGTCTCGCACACAAAGTACCTTAAGATGAGGTTATAAATTCATCCGCTCATCTTTTCTCATGTACTTAAGGCTCGTGGCATACAATGCATATTATCTTTATTAAATGTTTTGAGAAAGACACACTAAAGGTCTAAGGGGGAAAACTCAGTCCTAACGTTGTCATGCAAAATGATCCTAAGGTCGGGATGCGAAAGGAATTTATATCCTAATGTTAGCATGCAAAAGTGGGCCTATGGTTGAGGTTAATATGAGACTAATATAATGTTATCATGCATGGATTAACTTCTAATATCTATCATAATCCAAGCTTTTAAAAAAATTAAGTTGGACTAGGAAGCCTTAAGGAAGCATGCAAGAACAAGGCAAAACAAGGAAAACAAACCAAAAACAACAGCTACAACAGTGTTCCAGCTTCAAAACAACAATAAAAACCTAACAAATAAGCAAAACAACATTTAAAAATGCATGTTTAAGCATATAACAGGTATAAAATGCAGCAGGCAGAATGAGCGCACAATTAACAACATGCCAAAAATCAAGACAGCAGGTGTAAGAGCTCAGTCAGCATGCATACATCAACATTTCAACAAATGTATATGACATGGTGGAGATCAATCATGAACATGTATTAACAATTAAACACAAATAAGTTCAACAAGATTGTACGACTAAACATTCATAAAAAAGCATCATACATATTCTGCAACTGCACCCTATTTGGCGCCATGTCACTATTGTATTGATAATGACGAACAAAGGCCTATGTCGGATCTCTCCAGCTTCTAACATGAGTTCTCTCTAGCCCCATGTACCACTCCAATGACGACCCAACCAAACTATCCTGAAAGAAGTGCATTAGGAGTTTCTCATCATTGAAATACGTAGACATTTTCCTGTAGTATGCATAGATATGAGTTTTAGGACAAGTAGTCCCCTTGTATTTGTCAAAGTCCGACACTTTAAACATCTGATGGATTCTTACCCCTAGGACCAAACCAAGGTTATACATGTCAAGACCCAATGAGTTTTAATTCTCATAAGCCT